AAGTTTTGTAGAAATACCAGCTGGTTGTTATTGGATGGAGTCAGACAATCCTAACAATTATTACGATAGTCGATTATATGGCCCGGCAAGTTTACAGCTATTTCCAAATTTTGGTTTCAGAAGTTCACAATTGTTCATATCAAAAATTCGAATGGTCTCAATAGCTTGCATCCACTTATCTCCTTTAAATTTCGGTTTGATTTCCTTCCGTGTCAAAAATTCGCTTTTCACATAATGTCTTTAGTGATCATTAAAGAATTTTGTAAGCTGGATAAGCTGGAGATGCTGCAGGTTTCCGGAGGATTGTTGACAGCCCGAGCTACGCATATTATTTGGCCCCCGAAAAGATGGCGTACCATTAAAACAGAAGTGTTCGATCACAATACTGTTCCCGTTTCAAAACGGAACTTATTTTTTGGAATAAATCTTCCATGGTGATTTATAGATGTATGAATAATATATGCAGCATGGCAACAGATGTAATAGTAGTAGTATTACGACTAGTGATATACCTGAGCAGACTAAACATTCTCTCAGAACATTAGACGTTGATAATGCTCAAAATCTTCAGTGAGTTTTTATCCATTGTTGATAGATAGGTAGTACAATTAATTATATGCTAACAATACATGAAAGGACCTTGACTTTCGAAAAAAAACTCAATATACGAATAATCGAATACTCTCGTCTAATCTGTTTACTGATCAGATATCATTCTAATAGTTTCCAACATATACCATGTTTAAACACTGCCCAAACATTACTGCACTCTCGCATTGCAAATAAGGTAGATTGATTATTCGCAACATGACCTTTTAGAAAGACCTAAATGATAAACGACTGAATAATATCAGTGATTCTATGGTGCTTATTTTGTTTCTTGTAAATGATGAATTATTAGCATATTTCTCCTCTTCCATTATTTTCATTTTGCACCGAACCAACTGTAAAGTTTTGAAACAAGTGCAACAGTTTCAGAACAGCAACCAATCACTGCTCATTTACAGTACATATAAATATATGTAAACAGTACCTAAAAAATTTACAGTATGTAAATGGGAAAATGAGCTTCAAACATGTCCGCAGTCGTTCTTATACTATTCTTTACAAAATTGTAATCGTTCAGAACGTAAGTGGAACTGATAATTCATCTTATCTTGTGATATATCTTGTGACATTGTCAGTCCTTTTTTCAAAATAAATTTTTCGAAATATCCAACTTATGCAAAATCTGATTTATACAGCTTGTAGTTTCAATAAAAAGCTCTGCAAAGAAAAGTTTTATTTTCGTTCGTATTGCGTTTGAGTAAAGTGTATGAATTGAACGTACAAAAATTTATAAATTTTTCAAATGCATAGAAATAAGCCCGAAGTGTATGTGAATAATATACAAGTTATCATAATAATGTACAATAACAATAACTTAAAAAAGACCACACATAAGAAAGTTATAATTGATAAATGCGGATTTAAAGTTCTTCCAGTTCACACATGAAATTGATCTGAAAATGGATAACATGTATAAATAGGCAAAAGTGACTTTGCGGAATGTACAATGTCCTGTTCTGTTCCATGAAAATATTTGGAAAATTAATACTCTACAAATATAACCTACTTTTTAAACAAGTTAACTGAAATTACAGAATATTTCCAGCAAAATATCTTCAATAAGGTCTGCAAAATATTATCAACGAATCCCAATAAAGCTTTGAAATTGAAAAAAAGAAAAAGACCGTATATTTTTCAGCTGTGAAATTATACTTCAGGAATGTAATCATTCCATAACCGTATATCCTTCAATCGTGAAACTGCAATTTGCATGCAATTTCATCGCCAAAAAAATGTCTAAGTGATGAATATTTTACATCCAAATTGGAGAAATTCATATTCTGCTTAATCTGTCATATCGAGAAGCCATTGTTTCGTTAAAGCCAAAGAAGTTGCCGCATTGATTTTCTGCTGCCTTGCATGCAGTTCGAATTCTTTCAATCTGAAAATACTTTTTAAATACAGGAAGTATTAAACTTATGCTCAAATATACGAAGATTTCATAGACTTAGAACTGCAATTGGAAATGCCTTGAAATAAGCCTCACTAAATTGTAAAGAAATCAATTAACAGACCACTTTAACCATAAATTAAACATTTTAAATTATATAACTACTTTGTGATAATACGAGTCATTACAGTACGGTAATTTTTACGTAATATTAATATAAGAAACTGAGAGTATACATTGAAGAAAGATCATTTCTGATCATCGAATTCGAATTAGCGTTGCATGAATTTCCACTTGCTATTTCAGTAGCTTCCAGACGACACTAAAATTTTCGTGCAAAGTAGAAAAGTTTTTCTAAAGGTTAGCACAATTCCATTTTCTAAATCTGAAATTGGGAAAGATTTATGAGAAACATAAAGTTTCGAAGATTTTTCGGAAGTTTCTCTTTTCAAAACTTTTCTGCCACTGATCATGTTTGTTCCATTAAAGATTACAACAGAGAAGATGCATTCCTAGGAGTAACGAGCCCTTACCTCATTGGTTTGCTCAGTGATAGCAATCAACTGCAGAGTTTCGTCTAGCTGTTTTTTTGTTTTAAAAAGTTTATGCGACAAATCAAACATATCTCTGAAAAATTTGACGGTAGCGTTTTAGAATATATTTTCAATTAATTACTCTAATTGTTAGCAAAATAATTATGATTGTAAATGTAACACCGTTATCAACATAATATGCAAGAAAATATATTGTAAAACGAAAGTAAATATATTCTAAAAATAAATATATTCTAAAAAAATATATGCTAGAAACTTTATGTATTTTATCTAGAAAATCTAAAGATTTTCCAGATAAAATGCATAAAATGTTCAAATTTGAACCATTGAATGCTTCACATACCATGTAAAGCCAATATGTAACATTTGTAAAGTTCAAGAAAGAAATCGTTTTCTTTTTTTATTCTTTGAAAGAGAAAGAGAAGAAACATGAAGACTAGAATGATTTTATACCTTTAACTATAAAACCATAAAACCTTTATCGCAACACGTCGACGCCGTAGAATGGGAAACCATATTGATGTATATTAAATTTCGCAAAAATTAAGTAACTAGATCTGAAGGATGGGAAATAAGGTCCGAAGTGTAAAAGTATACTTAATTTCCGATAAAATCTAACGAATCATAAAATTTTGATAAAAATGGAGCATGGAAAGACAGAATTTACCTAGCTAACATTTGTAAAGGTTCCATGAAAATATCACAAAGTTGCTTCAATTTCTCATCATAATTTCTGACCATTTTTTCATAAGAATTCAACAAATATTTCCTGAAATATAAGCAATTTCCTTCAATAAAATGTTAGAACGAATGATGAAGTTCGTAAAATGATGTTCCTTTCTCCTTTTTGTTTGCCTTATCTACATGATGAAAACAGTTGGATAGCAAGACGAAATTTTATGGAGTTTTCTCGCAGAAAAAGAGGATAAGAAATTTATCTTAATTTCGTAACACATGAAGTGTTGAAAATAAAACCCAAGAAGAATCGTTGGTAAAGATATTACAATGTAAAGAATGCACAAATGGAAACCATAAAATTAAAAAATATCACAATGCTTGAAATTATTACATTATTATGAAGTTATTACACTTAAAATTGTTATATTAATTAGTATTCAAGAATAATTTACTGCTTTAAGAAAGGAGAAGCTTACCTATCCGTCTCCATTTGTAAAACGTTTTCTGAAGCATTATTACATGGTGGAAAAGTTCGAAGTTTCTGAAAGTAAAAATGGAGTGTATTTGATTAATGCCTTAATAAGTACGTGTTTGCATAAGTAGGTATCTAAGTTAACATATGATATCAAGAAGTAAATAAATAAACGAAGAAACCCTTTTTTTTTTCTTTTGAAAGAGCATCTTATACTCCTCAATAAGTTCGAACAATATCTTAAAATACATGGAAGTAGAAATTAACAGAAATATAATGCAATCTAATTTAAAAAACGCGCACAACACACATACATACATTCTTTTTGTATCAAACAATTATTTAGCAATAAACAAACCACAACTGCTTCAAGTTCAACTTTCAGTGATGGCTCTTTTGCAATATGTTTCGACTCAATAACAGCAAAACGTACATCAATTTGTTGCAATGTATTACATATCCATTGCACTGCCTCTGCAAAATGTTTCCAAAGAAACTAAACAAATTTTCGTCATATCAAAAAAAAGTGAAAAAAAAAAACAGAAAGGAAAAAAAAACCACAGTAAGATTTTTCTCGGCTTTCTTTTAATTATAAAATCCATTTCTCAAACTTTATGATAAGATTAAAATTCATAAAGGTCTTGCATTGCTGTTACTGCAATAATAGCCCATGTGGTTCTAATAAATGAGTGCAACTAGTTTATCGGCTCCCTTCAGCATCATTCCTTTCGAACGACTACTTCTAATCAAACTGCCTAATTTGTTTATAATAAAGTTGAAACGCAATAACTACCATATTTCGACCAAGAAACTTTTAAATGGTAAATAATTTGATCTTGGTATGATGTCTTGGTCACAAGACCACGTAATGGGTGCGTTCGACGAGTGGTCACGTCACACATGTTGAAAGATGAGTCACTCTGATCTGATAATCGTAGTGAACATAGACATTATTTACAACATATCATTAGTTACAATATATTATAATGATTTCAAGGATGCATGTTTCAAAATGGATCAACAAAAGGGAATAACGCACCTCTGATAAAATTCAATTCTCGTACAACCGAAAGTGAATTATTTTCAACCGCTTTCCGCTCCTCAGCTGTTTCTTTGTTCAGTGCAATTGCTTTCGAAAGTAAACGTAGTTGTTTCGCTAAACGGTTTGCAAAATTGCAATCATGCGTTAGAATTTCAGCTTCCTTTAATAATTTCAAATGTACTGCACGCAAAATTCGAATAACATCCGGTATTGTATCCTGTAATTTATATGTCTGTCGTTCCACACTTAACGTACTCGCAGCCGCAAGCTTCATCTCATGAAAGGTTGGCTCACGATTACATAACGGAAACGGTGAATGCACTGAAAATGTATCAGATTTGAAGCGGGTCATAAATATATCAATCACTTATTCATTTACTATCTTACCGAAATGGGAAGAACCACGCTGTATTATGAATAATATTAGCATTCAACACAAACTATGCCGAATTTCTTGCAATATCCGGAAAATGTTTTGCTCTTTGCTATCCACATCAATCACTGGTTACTCAATAAGTTATCCACAATGATGGATAACAAAAAGGTAAAAACAGACGTGAACTGACTTGAAAGAGAGAAACCGATATTAGGCCATGCATCTGCCGATGGTTAAAAACAATCACCGACAGAATGTATGTGAATGAAAACACAAATGAAAAAAAATTGAATTTCAGAGACCAAAATATGAAACATAAAAATGATAACTCACCGACAAGTTCCGGTAATTTGATCGGCAAAGTATAATTTTCATTATTTTGGAGTCCCATAACAATAACATCAGAACAGCGATCGATCAAGCCCACAGGAAATGGAGGTGATTTATAGACAACCGCGGAACCAGCTGGAAGTGTTAATAGACAAATCAGATCATGGGGTGGCGTATCAACCTTCATATAAACATCAAAGTAGGACCTGGAAACATAAAAGATTCAGATCTTCTTGCGATAATAAAAAGTTACAGAGAGATTTCTTATTTCAAAACTTGATTATTTCTTTTGAAAACTTGGAATCATCAAAAAAATACTTTCGACATATTCAAAATCCGGAATTTTCCCACCTCTCGAAATGATCAACGGCTGAAGTATCAAAATACTCCTCCAAACACATAATGTTCATCTTAAAAACACGCATTCGTTTCAAGTTTAACAACTCTTTACACATTTCATCAAATTCATTGAACGTTAGACGAGTTGCTTCACGTCTATCAAAAAGACGTCGAATAAATTCACCGAGAATCCGACGAAAACTTCTGGAAAACATAGCTATTCAACTAGTCTTAAGTAATAACTTTTATTTTTTTATCAAAAAAGAGAACATGTGCTTTGCAACTTAAAACAGTTTTTCTTATTTGTCAAGTAAAAATAAATTTCAACTGCATTTTTTATTTGCTAGGCAAATATTTCTAATAGTTTCAGAATTCAGTTCTCTGAAAAGTATCGCATTAAAAAAAAAGGCATACTTATATAAAAGATACACAGAAAAGGTAAGCTCACTTGGGGTATAAACAACGTCCATTTGGAAAATCTTTCTGCCATAAAAATTGACCCGTTTCACTTGCCCTACCGAATATAGCATCTGATGGTCGACTAATCATCATATTATGCATTCCAAGCGTATCTGCTGGTCCTAAAAAGTAATTAAAAATGATCAAACGCCATTTTTACTGCTGAATTTTATCCTTGACGGAAGCTTAAATTTTAATAGAAACTTTGAACAGGACGTGTATCCTAGTTAAATCGTTATGATCAAAGTAAGTGTCACACAACTTGAAGAAAAAAGTTAATCAAAAAATCCAAGTTTAAACATCCTAAAACTACTAACTGAATTTGGATTGGCAAATGCAAATATTTCTACTCCATGACATAATATAATTCAAGCTTACCTTTTGCTGGTACAAAAGGTAAAATACCAGTTGCACATTCGAATAAGGTACAACCTACTGACCATAGATCACATTCATCTTTCGTATATGACAACGCCGTTGTTTTTCGTGCTAAATTGGCTGTCGAATATTCATTCTATAAAATGACACATATTCAAATCATATTAAGTCATAGTAACAAAATATTTGACCTTAATATTTGTATGGTACTAAAAGTAACAATTCAAACACCAATTTAATATGCAATAACTGCTTTTAGCAAATCTTTCCGAAAGAAGATGAATACATCCTCTATATCACATAAATAGTATTATAAAACCCGTTTTATTCGAGTAGTTGGTGCATGGAAAGAAAGAAGACAATAACTAACAGCAACTTACAAGGTATCCTGGTGTACCACAAATGGAATGCAACGGTTGAAAATTATCGGTAAGAAATCTTGAACCACCAAAATCACATAATTTGAAGATCATCCTGACGAAAAAGGAAAAGTAGAATGTTGCACATGCCAAATTATGGATAAATATTATAGGTTTTGAGAACTGCAAAACTGAAACAATTATTTTCAGAGAAATTTGAATTTTTTCTTTTAAAATGAAAAATATACCTTTCAGATTTATTGAAAATTAATACGTTTTCCGGTTTTACATCTCGATGTGCAATCTTCTTGGAGTTCAAATACGACAATCCTTTTTCTGAAAGGAGAAAATCATCAATTAACTTTTAATTTCAGCACTAGTCGAAAGGACCGTATGGAAAGAATATAAGGCATACTTGATGAACATATTTTTGAAGTGATGTTAAGTAGAAGAAAATATTAAGCAAGGTAAATTTGGAACGAAGTCAAGTTAAGTGAACAAAGTAAGCATAAATGAATAAAGCAAAGTGAATCAAAACAAACATAATTCAAGAGAATATAAAGAAAATAATTTTATGTCAAACAAAATGAAACAAAACGTAGTAAACTAAAATAGAGGAATGTAAGATAAAATAACGAAACGGAAAAAATTAAAGTAACATAAGACAAACGATCTGAGAAGGATACCAAGATGATCGATTAACTGCAACAAAATTTGATACGATAGACCAAACATATTTTCCAATTTTTTCAATTCATCGCGTACACTACCATCAGCCAATTCCATGACTAGTACCATTTGTTGGGCTTCATTCATGTTCTTAAATAATTTTAAATATAAAATAATTTTGTGCTGAATTCATTAGGAATAGGAAAATGAGTAGCCTTAGACCTAAAACGTTTACGTACAATTTTCTTTAACGTTGTTAGACAAAGAAGTGTTAGACATATAAAGGAATCCACTTATCAAGCTTTCATTTGCTAAGTAGAAAGACGATACACAGAATTCCATTTTTTACTGTGTTACATTAATATTTTTCAATGTTGCTATTTTATATAGTAATTTTAGGTAATTAATATTATATTTAAGAACGACAATGTACCTTTGGATCAATCGTATCAGACGCAATAAATTTGACGATATACGGAGAATTTAACTGTTGTAAAATTTCAATTTCACGAACATGTTGCTGAGTATTGAATTTATTGCACGTTTTGATCGCTACAAATTCACCTGTTTCCTGGTTTCGACCTTTGTGAACCTATCATTTAAAAAGCATCAATTGTTGTGGTGGAAAACAACAGAACTGTTGCACATTTTTGCGAGTCATTAATTAAATTAAATCGAAATAATAAGTATCAACATAATATCCTTAGATAGTAATTGCTTTATCTCATCCATGTTGAAACAATTTTAAAGAATAAATCCAAAAATGACGTACATTTCTTCAGATAACTGTCATATTGTACATAATCCATATCTATCGTTCACTTATTGAATTCTACTGATTTCAAAAATATCAATTTCAAATTTTACCCTTCCAAAGGCTCCATTTCCAATCAAATCGATGTTACGTTGATGCCAGAAAAATTTATTCGTATACTGTATACCTCCTTCCGAAGCTCCATCCATTCAGCGTCTGTAAAAAGTTTTTTTAAAAGAAATTTTTTTTTGCACTATTTAATTTCTTTCAAGGACTTGATTCCCGTGCATTATTAACCATTAAAAAGCACTTTCAAAGTATTAAGATAATAAATTTTGAATCAATTCTGAAGTCTCATTCTGTATGCAATAAATTCTTCACATAATTCCTCACCAAGTTGCAAATGGACTCAAACTTTCGAGTGTGAAAAACAAAAAACATATTGAAATTTGAAAACAGTACAATAAAAGAAACATCCAAAACACATATTACCACTAATTAATCATTGAATTAATGAATTATATGAATAGATAGTGAGATTAATTAACTAATTATATGAATAGATGAGCAGAATGAATGTGTGAAACTTTTCCATCCAATTTTTCCCTATTTATAATTAAAAATTGAAAGGAATAGAAGTAGTAAAGTGGAAGGAATCGAAATATAATAATTATTCAATTGGCATTTACTCAAATTGTGTTATTACTAAAGGTAATACTATGAAATGAGGCATTAATTAATTAGGAATTAAATGGTAAAATAAGTTTACATGTCAACCATTAATAGTAACATGGAGAAGTTGCAGCAGTAATTAGTAATGATCATAAAATCAAAACTAATAAGAGATGGTGGATGCGAACACTGTCAAACGAACTCTTTACGTCCTTATTTCAGGTTTCACGTTTAGACGTACCGTCAAAAAACTACCGTCAAATATTCGTCTATTATTTTCATTTTCCTTTCCCATTCTTTCGCATTTTTTGCTCAAATTGTCCATCTCCCTACATCCTACGAGAAAATTCGAACAATCAAAGATCATTTTAACAACCAAAAGATATTTCACTACGATCGATCTGACCAATTAGCGAAATGACCAAATCTGACCAAATGACACTGACAATTAAATTTTAAAATCAGAAATATGAAACAAAATAAAACAAAATTCTGAATTTGAAATATCTTTTGAGTTAATCAATTTGAATGTGATATAAATCAGTCCACTTGTGCTCTAATTTGCAGTATATTTCGACAAATAATGAAAAAATCGATTTATCAATCAATTATCACTCCTATAATCACCATCAATCACCATCCTATAAGCAGCGCTTTTTCATGCTTAGCATTTCAAAAATCAATTTATCAAATTCAAAAGTTAACTTATCAAACTTATCACCAATATCTTTCGGTTGAAAGAGGATAATTCTATAACATACAGGTAATAAATTAGAATAATAATGAGTAGATGTGAGGAAAATGAGGAAATTGAAATGATAAGAAGCTGATTGTTAAAATACAACAGTAATGTTGACAATACCGGACAATCACATTCTCGATGAAACACTAACACATTGAGATGAAAGCAGACCACATGACACCGCGAACAACCAATAATCTCCCACTCCCCCAAACCAGATCCCATTTCATGTCTCATTTCTTTAAAAACCGCTAATTTAAATTTATTTGAACTGACTAAAAATTGATGATTCATCTTGTTTTAGTACAAATGTTGTGCACTTTGGTGATGGATGATGGAAATTCCGAGTTTTTAATCCATCAAGACCAATTCCGGTGAACTATTGACCTTAACCTCGACCTCGATCCGTGGAATATATCGATGAGAAAAGTATATGTTTTCTTAAAAAATACGGAGAATTGACTAATTTGAATGAATGTTGCTGTAACAAAAAGTAAGAATAAAAGAAAATAAATGAAAACGAAAAAAAAAATTAACAACGAATGCTAAAATTCGATCATCAACCTCATAATATCGCATATACTCTGCAAATTGATCGAAAAAAAAACTGCAGATAATACAGTTAATAGATCCCAAATGACCATTGATCGTATATATATATATATGTATTGGAAGAAAAAAAAAAAATTTGAATGCTAAAAATCGATCAACAATGCTTATTTCGTTGACCTCTTTAAGCGATTTATGAATAGAAATAATATAAATATAAATTTGTTAATTTAAATTTAATTACTTATCATTTTTTTTTAATGTTTAAAAAAAAAAAAAAGGAAACATATGTGTAAGCAAAGTACAATTTGATTGAAAACGGTCGAACTATTCTAAATTTCTTTTTTTCATTCAGTTTACTTAAACTACGAAATATTTCATAGCAAATGAATAAATTTCAAACATTTATCGATTTTTAACACTTCTCCATAATTCATCAAATTTGGTAAAAAATTTATTTAAAAATGATTGATTACTAATTTGGTATGGATGAAAAGGAGCGAAATCATATTTCATTAATAATTTTTAATCTTCCATTTCCATTCATTTCAAATAATAAATCTTCATTTCTCAGCCGCTTTAAATGTCATTTTAAAACAATTTGCAAATGTTTTTTACAAAATTTCAAGTAATTTATGGTTTTTCCTGTTTTTTTCTTTTAATTTTTGTTGCAAATTTCAATCTTCCTTCATTTTTTTTTTCTGCGAGATCAAAAAATTTGCAAATGATCAGCTCATGTATCGAAAAACATTACAAATAGCCAGTTCATGTATCAAAATTATCTGTAAATGACCATTACCAAAATTGTATCAAAATTGTATCAAAATTGTCTGTAAATGACCATTTCATGTATCAAAATTATCTATAAATGACCATTTCATGTATCAAAATTATCTGTAAATGACCATTTCATGCATCAAAATTATCGAATCAGTTTTCGATTTAATTTGTCGCAGGAATAAACAAACTGAAGGAGGAAAAATTGGTTTTTGTATAATTGCCAAAATTTACACATTTTTTTTTCAAATAACTTTAAATGCTTAACTGTTTGATCGAATTAAAAGAAAAAATTATTACAAAAGTTTTGGAATTTCCAAATTTTCAATTTCCAATCTCCAATTTTCAATTTCTAATTTTAGCATTTTTTCCATCTTTCTGCAATTCAAAAATTTTCACTGTTCCTTGCTTTTATTAACAAATAAATTTCATTTTTCAATTGAAGTTTAAAATTTTGAACTTTTGAAATTTATATTTTTGACATTTTAAACATTATTTAACATATGGTTCCAATTTGAAGCAAACATAGAAAAGGGAATATTCATCGTATAATTCGATTTGATGTATTATTTCTCAATCTCATAAATCGCTGTAAATGAGAAATGTTCAGGTAAGTTCCAATTTAAAATTAATTTAGAGAGAAGCACCTAGCTGATTAAATCATAATTTAAAATTGTCATAGAAAAGGAAATTGAAACATATGATAAGGTCACAGTTTATGCCCTAATTTCATACATTCCTTAATCACAATCAAATGATAAGTTTCATTTTGGAACTAATACACACAGGTAGGAAATGTTTGGACAAATTTCATACGATAATAATTCATTTTTCCATTAATTCAATTCATATTTTCTTTATTTCAAATTTAAATTTCGTTCAGACTTTAAGTCAAAAATTGTATTTTAAATTCTAATCAAATTTTTTGAATTTGTCAAATAAAAGTGTTATAGCATGCTCAATCTGTTGTTTATATCTGTAATATTAAAATTGGAGTACTGGATGATGGTAGAATTGAACTTAGTTTAATTAATTAATTTTGGTTGATTTGATTTAATTAATTCGAGTTTTAATTAACTTAATTTTAATTGATTCGTTTTTTTCTCTTTTTTCGATTTTTTTTTAAAATGATTAACATGAAATTAAAACAATTACAATGATATGTAATTCATTCATCATACTTGTAATTGCCCTCTAACCTTGCTGTATTTTATCTACTAAATCTGGTATTGCTGATTTGTGATAAATACTGATAGCATCAGTTTGACGGTATCAATCATTTTAACGAAATTTACTGGTGTCAATGATAGCATTGTTATAATGTTTTGAAATGAATAAATACTTTTCTTTTTCCGGAAATTTCAGTTCATCTATCAGTAATGTTAGCATGGAACAATATCATTTAACTGATTATCATTACCTTATATTATAACCAACTTGTAAGTAATCTTAATTATACTTAATTAAATTTGTAATCTTAATTATACTTAATTAAATTTGTAATAAATACCTAAATTACTAAATTATTAAATTCATATAAAGTTATCTTATATTATTTTAAATTTCACTCCAAAGCACTTGAAAAGTTATGATGAAAATGTGTTAATTGTTATTCCCGTTAATTGTTACCTGTTAATTAAATAGTCAATTGTTAAACAGTTACTGTTAATTAAATAAATAGTTCCTATTAATTAAATAGTTAATTGCTATTCGTGTTAATTATTAATTCGAAACAATATTACCATCCAAATAATTTATATGATTTTGATAACCAAAAAATAAGTACGTTAATTATTGCAAAAAAAAAAAGCATTAAAAAAATTACACTTGGGATTAAATTATAAAGACTATGATGATTAAATTATACTTAATCTTAATTATACTTAATTAAATTTGAAATAAATATCTAAATTACTAAATTATTAAATTCGTATAAAGTTATCTTATATTAATTGTCATTTGCTATCACACTTGTAGACATTATCAGCATCGGTATATAATTAAACAACCGAATTACAAGATAATGAGACAAGTATAGAAGATGAAGAAACTACGGTATTGTTTAATGTTCAAACAATCAAAAAATCATTGGAGCAAAATATTCCAGAGGAAAAAATTTGCGAGAAAAATGAAATGTGAACAAATTGTATTGGTCTGTGATATGATGTGATATGATATGATATGTGAATTAGGATGTAATGCTGATGATAATGTTCATTTCATCTTTGATTTCCTTCATATCATATCATATCATCCAAATATTTGGGGGGGGGGGAGGAAAATAAAACAGAAAATATTTAAATTAACAAAAAAAAAGTGTAAAAAAATTGACAAATCTGAAATTTAAAACTTAAATATTTTTTTCTAAAAAAAAATTCCAAAATTTTTAAATTGTAAAATATTTGAAAAAATTTATTTGAAATAATTTACATTTCGTATGAGTGAATTAAATTTTTTCATAAATTTATTCTTTTTTTATTTCGTTCAAAAAATTCATCCTTCCCTCCTTTTTTTTTTTTTATTTTAATAAATCCTGATAAGCAATCTTCTAGTTGCAATGTCAAAAAAAACGTCATAAGCTAGGATGCGAATGTCCAGCAATTCTTGGATTTCGTCTAACATCAAATGGACATTGTGTCCAGAAAACAGATTGTCCATTTGGAAATGATAAAATTTCCGGTTACTTTTTGCTTGTTAATTCGTTTTCCGATAAAATTCTGAAGTGAAAATGTAAAGGTTTGTCGAATTCGACTTTTAAAATTAATTCATACTTCATTCCTTTCTTTTTTTATTCGATACTTCGATGACTTCATAAAATATTTCGTTATTTCATGCTTTCGTGCTTTCACGTTAACCAAAACAAAACACGTTTATTCGGTGACATCACAGAATAGCTCGTCACTTCATTTACGTGTTTTCATGTTAACTAAAAAAAAAGAAATATCAATAATCCAAACTTTCATAATGAATATTGACTGATTTAAAAAAAAATGAATTATAATAAATTCAGAAATTGGAATTATAAAAGAAGTTGTAAAATATCATTTTCATTCAAACAAAACATTCCTAATCTCTTATTTAGCATTAATTAGCTAAATGATTAAAATAATTATGATCGAAAGGAAAGTGTCACATTTAGGTAATCCTAAAATGGTTACGAAAGAATTCAAGGAATACGGGAATGCTTGTGAAGAAACTTGTGATAATTTTGGACAACCAATAATATGTGCCAAGAAATATGTCCCAGAATGTTATTGCAAGAAAGGTTAAGAGTGGTCGTTGTGTTTTGCGACAGTTATGCTTTTATTACAACAAAACAACAAAGAACAATAACATTATTGTATTTACATCAAAGAACAATAACATTATTGTATTTACATCAAAGAACAACATACCTATATTTACATTAAGGAACAATAACAATAATTGTATCTACAACAAAGATATGTAATACAAATAAGTACTATTTCAGAAATATTATTCCAATTTTTTATTTCATTAAAAAAGCAAATAATAAATTTACATACTATAATATTTCATAGTTCAAAATGAATTTTTAACTGATCATTTCTGATGAATTTTATTTTAAGCTTATGTTCGTTGAAGAATGTTTACTTACGTCTATTTGATCATGTATTTTT